GTTTTTGAATAAAATATTTGCAGAATTTGAGGAACAAAGAATTCTGGGTCAAACTTGGGCTCATGGTCTGTACAGAGCCTACATAGAATTAGGAATTAGCCCATTCTATTGGTCCCCCTTCTACTTCTAGTCTAGGGCTTCAGGGCTCAAACAGAAAGAAGAGAAATTTGAGAAATTAGATGTTTATTGAATTGAAGATTTTGAATGTGCTTATACATTTTTTGTTTGACAGTAAAAGTGATTTCGGAACAATAAATATATAGTCCCATTAACCAATCCAAGTCAAATTCTTCGTGATCCAGACGCTATTTCAGTTCTCAGCCTTGTCCACATGACCCAATCCATATATTAATGCATATGGGTGTTTTAATAACTAGTTTTTAATTTTTTTTACTAAACTCTCTAATATGCATAAGTCACATTAAATTTTGATTAATTGAGAGTTGAGTCAAACTAAATTTTATAATGAAAAACTCTTATAACACCTATTTTTGAATTTATAAGACCTAAATTCAAAACGTTTCTTAAAAGTAACTAAACATTTTTCACTTGAATCAAGTTTTATTTTAATAACTATTGATAAAGAGAAATTATTTTAATATGGTTAGATGTTAATTTTGGTCCCTCAACTTTATAGTGTTACAAAACTTTTGTCCCTCAACTTTAGAAACTGCACAATTTTGATCCCTTCATCAATTAGGGTTGTTAACTCGGTCCACTTGTCATTTTTCTTATTTTTTGTAATGACATGTCAATGACAGATCATACAATTAACTTAGGTGGATAATGTTAAATTGCCAAGTCAAATTCAATTATCTTTTTTAATTCTTTTCAATTCTCTAAATATAAAATTACTAAAATGCCCTTAATTAATTTTTTTACCATCATTCTCCTCTGCCCTTTCTCTCTCTGTTCTCCCCACCACCACCATTGTTTCCAACTATCATTTCGCTCTTCATCGATGTTTCTCTTCCCCTCTCCCCTTCATCCCCCTTGTAGACCAAATCTAGGTTTGTGGCAAACCTAGTTGATCTACGTTCACGGCAAACCCAATGATCTAGGTTCATGGTGAATGTAGACGATCTGGGTTCATGAGGAGTCTAGATGATCTAGGTTTGTGGCAAACCTAGACAATTTGGGTTCACCGTAAACCCAAGAAGGGTTCTTATGAACCTATTAAAGGGTTCTTGATGGTTGTTTTTGCATATTAGTAGAAATGTGACTATTAATTGGCTGTTTTTGCATTAATTGCTACTTCGTTAATCTTACTGATTAGCGTAAGTTGGGCAAGTAACAAAAATCTTGTATTTTCGAGTACATCATTATGGATTGGATTAGTTTTTCTGGTGGGTATCCTTAATTCTCTTATTTCTTGAATCTATAAGTTTTTATATAGGAGTGGCAAAAATCCACCCGACCTATCAACTCGACCCTAACCCAACCCGTAAAAACAGGTTATGGTCTACATATCTCAACCCGCGACCTGTATATAACCCATAATATCAACCCGTACAGGTCATGGGTCGAGTTAGGATCAACCCACGAGTTGACAGGTTGACCCATTTGCTTTATTTTATTATTATTATTATTAAAAATATTATACTTATTATTCTTAATTAATTTTCCTATTAGTAATTCTTTTCATTAATTCATACTCTTCAATATGGTTTTCATTATTTAAATGGTTTTAAATTTATTTTGAGTGTTTATTCATCATAATTTCTTTTTCTTTCTTTAGAAATTATATGGGTTTGATTTAATTATTAAGTATCGTAAATTAAATAATAATACAACTAAAAATATTAAAGATGTGATACTAGAATATAAACATAATAATTTAGTGA